AAAAACTCTACACAACACATTACCCAAGGCTGGAATTGAACCCAGGTCCATAGCACTGAAGAGCAGCAATACTAACCACTGTACCACCATGTAGTCATATTCATTTTAATCAAATTCAAAAGCAGAAAGAGTTTAAACAGCAAAATGTCAAGGAACATCCACAAAAATAAGTTGGTATAAGATTTCACAGGGCTGCATAAGCTCATGTTTGAGTCTAAATAAAAAGCAGAATCTGTCAAGGTTAATAACTGTGGAATAATCATTTTTTTCATACCATTAACATTAGTATCAAAACTATGGATGTACTGGTTTAGCAGAAATGTTTTTCCTTTGCTGTCAAATTTGTAGAGTTCAGATTTCAAGTCCTAAACAAATTCGAGATGAAACGTGAACAAAGAGACAGCAACTGAACAATATTCTTCACTTGAGACAACTGAAGCTCCTGCATCTGAATTTGATCAGATTGCAAGAACAAACAGTGTTATGACAAATCCAAGTTACACATTGGATGCTGAGAGACTAGAAATGGCCTTCTTTAAAGAGAATACCTGACCTTCCAACCATTCAACAACTTTAACAGATAACACATCAAAAGAAAGGCATCTTCAGGTAACACAATTAAATACTGTTGGAAAATAGACACATTTTGTTAAAGCTTTTTGTCTTGCACTCATCAGGACACTTCACAAGAATACCAATTCAAAGAAAAAAACAACATTTGTACTGCGTGAGAAGGAAGTGCTGATTGGTTGGTAAGTGGACTCTGATTTATAGAGAAATTGTTTTGGAGAATGCACCATTTAATTTCTTCATGATTCACTAGAATCTTCATCAGTCCAAATTCTGAAAGATAGGCGAGACCTGTGTGATTAGATATGTGCGATCATAATAGCCAACACACACTCTTAGTCTCACACTATAAGGCCTTATTATTCCAGTGGTGAATTATTCTATTACTTAACATGATGAGTGGCAGCAAAGCCAATGAAAGATGTACTTATGGGAGTAATCATTGATGCCAAACTCAAAAGGTTATCTAGTGTGGATATGAAATTTATAATTGATTCTCAACAGTGTCCTGCATAACTATTTCCTCACAACTATTTACAATGCTGGAAACAACACCCTACTGATCCTGCTCTTAAACACATATGCTTCATTTAAATGGGGCTGTTGTTGACTGTCAAAAGGTTCTGTTGTGGCTTGAGATATCAGGACTTTGTTGAGATGACGAGCCACTCTTCAAAAACAGCTCCTGATTTTTGTTACAGGGAGACCAATAATTAACAAGCTTTTTCAGGCCTGGGAAATTAGTCTGTAGCTGATAGCAAGGGAGTTGAGGATTGACAAAGCCCATTGCTCAGGCCTCATCTGGGTGAAATGCTATTGTTGACCAAGCCTCCAGAGTCACCTCACTTTAACAGAAGGTCAAATTTGGGATTGTGTGCTTGATCGGCCCTGGATTTCAGGTAGGTCCTGTTCAGAGAGACTGACTAAAGGGAATATGTTTATGATAACTGTAGAAATGATATATGGAATGGGATAGGGAGAGGTGGTAGCTCTGCTCCTCCTGGTCCCACACAAAGGATTTTTTTAAAAATTCCATTCTCACTTTTAGCTGACAATCATGGGAGAGCATGCATTGAAGAATTACAAGTGGCATGAATCTAATATCTGTCCATACATGCAAAGTTACAAACTCAAATACTTTTTTTTTAAAAATTCATTGACAGGACAAGGACAAGGACATCACTGGCTAGGCAGCATTTATTGTCCATCCCTGATTGCCCAGAGCCAACCACATTGCTGTGGGTCTGGAGTCATATGTAGGCCAGACCAGGTAAGGATGGCAGTTTCCTTCCTTAAAGGGCATTAGTGAGCCAGATGGGTTTTTCCAATGTTAAAAAATAGATTCATGGTTGTCATTTGATTCTTAATTCCAGATTTTTTTAAAAACTGAATTCAAATTCTACCATCTGCTGTGGCAGGATTTGAACCCAGGTCCCCAGAATATTATCTGGGTCTCTGGATTAACAGCCCAGCAATAATGCCACCAGTCTGCCACCTCCCATAGTCAGCTTGTTCCTCTGCATGTCAATGGCGATCCTTCAGCTCTTTGATTTGCTGCTAAATTATTCTGTACAACAGTAGAAATTATAAATGAAACGTAACGAACTTGTTTTCCCACTTGGCAATGAATTTGTGACGTCAGCATGTTTCACCATGGGCTTCCTGTACATGCTGGTAGATTGCGTGCCTGGTTAAACCACTAACCTACAGATTCTTCTCCTGCAGCTTACATAACCCTGCAGGTTAACAGTGACAGGTAGTGGGGTTTGTAGTGGCTCTTTACTTTCTTACTTGAATTATTTCTTACACATGTCCTGCATTCACTTCAGTCACATCAACTACCACTATAGTTGACTGTCCTGGCTGAGTACAATGTGAACATTGTCATTTTCACAGGAGGACTTGACCTAACATTACTGCAAGAGAGGATTTTATTCAAGCCTACTCCAGACATACCACTTCTGTTAGACATACTTCAACATGTCAACTGCTCTATATAGAAGAGAACCCAGGTAACAATGAACATTTGGACCAAAAAGGAAGGTATTGTTTCAAACCAAGGAGACTATGTAAGGAGATGGCTGTAGTTTTAAAATTCACATTGCCTAGAGCACATTGTGAGCTAGAGGCAATGCTG